TTCTTCCTACTTTGATTTTCCTTACGTGGCTATTTTATCGTCCTGAGTGTTGGGTTTTGTTTGTTTTTGAGATGGAGTTTCACTGTTTTTGCCCAGACAGGAGTGCAGTGGTGCAGTCTCGGCTCACTGCAAACTCCACCTCCCGGGTTCAAGTGATTCTTTTGCCTCAGCCTCCAGAGTAGCTGGGATTACAGGCGCCTGCCACCACGCCCGGCTAATATTTTGTATTTTTAGCGGAGTCAGGGTTTCATCATGTTGGCCAGGCTCAAACTCGTGACCTCAGGTGATCCACCCACCTTGGCCTCCCAAAGTTTAGGGATTCCAGGCGTGAGCCACCACGCCTGGCCTCTTCATGAGTGTTTTAGGCATCTGTGCCCTGAAGTCACTTGCTTTTTTTCTACTCCTAGTCCTAAGTTCCAATTTTTAGGGCAATTTGTGACTTCTCTTGATGGCTAATAGTGGGAAAGTCCCTAGATGGCTTTATCCTGCACACCTAGTCATTCTCTGGCTGTGTTGTTTGAGGAAAGTGTGTGTGTGTGCACGTGTGTGTCTGTGCACGTGCATGTGTGTGTGTGCACATGCACGGGGGTGTCCCTGCCCTTGTGATGTTTGTACGTCATGCAGCATTCTCTGGTGGAAGCATGGTAGGGAGGGATTAAGACCAGCCAGCACACACCATATTCACAGAGCACATCCACCCTGTGATGGGCTTTTCAGGTGGTTTTCTTGACAACCAGACTTACTAATCATCCTCCAATCCCACTTACCATTAACTGAGAAAAGCACATAATTGGCTTAGGAGAGTCACTAATGCACCTTCATGAGCCTGTGTAGGCTCTTAAGTCTTTAGAACCTACTGCTTACAGAGCCTAAGCTTCTCTACCAAAATCGTTGAAAACTGCCTTTCAGAAAAATCAGGATGTTTAAGAGCAGAACAACTGTAAGGATGTTAGTCACCTCCCCTGTTTTACAGATGAGGCCACTGCGGTCCAAACAAATAACTTATGAAGCTCAAATAACTACAGTCATGCATCACTTAACGAAAGGGGTACATTCTGAGAAATGCATCGTTAGGTGATTTTGTCATTGTGCAAACAGCATAGAGTGGACTTCACAAACCTAGATGGTACAGCCTCCTGCACACCTGGCCTATAATCATATGATCTGTAGCTTCTGGGCTACAAACCTGCTCAACATGTTACCATACTGAATACTGCAGGCAATGGTAACACAATGGTAAGTTTTTGTGTCTAAACTTAGAAAAGGGACAGTAAAATACAGTATAAAACGTAAACAGTAGTACACATGTATAGGGCATTTGCCATGAATAGAGCTTGCAGGACTAGCTCTATACTTGCAGAAGTACTCTGGGTGAGTCAGTGAGTGAGTGAGAGATGAGTGAATGTGAAGGCCCGGGACATTATTGTCCACTAGTGTAGACTTTCTACCGTACATGTAAGCTATACTACATTTAAAAGACAATATTTTCCTTAATAATAAATTAGCCTTATCCAATAATAAATTAACCTTAGCTTACTGCAATTTTTTTACTTTATAAACTTTTTAACCTTTTTAAACTTTTGACTCTTGTAATAACACTTAGCTTAAAACACAAATACACTGTACAGCTACACATATTTTCCTTCTTTATAGTCTTTATAAGCATTTTCCTATTAAAAATTTTTTTTAACTTTTTAAACTTTTGTTAAAAAAAAAAAAATAAGACACATACACATTAGCCTAGGCCTACATAGAGTCAGGGTCATCAATAACACTGTCTTCCAGCTTCATGTCTTGTCCACTGGAAAATCTTTAGGGACCATAACACGCATGGAGCTGTCATCTCCTGTAATAATAATGCCTCCTTCTGGAATACCTCCTGAAGGACCGGTTTGAGGCTGGTTTACAGTTAACCTTGTTTTTAATAAGTAGAAGGAGTACAGCAACATAGTCATTTGTTGTCAAGTATTATATACTATACATAATTATAGGTGCTAGACTTTTACATGACTGGCAGCACAGTAGGTTTGTTTACATCAGTGTCACCACAAACACACGAGTAAGGCATTGTGCTATGCCGTTAGGATGTCACTAGGTTGGCCGGGTGCTGTGGCTCACACTTGTAATCCCACCACTTTGGGAGGCTGAGGAGGATGGATCACTTGAGGTCAGGAATTCGAGACCAGCCTGGCCAACATGGTGAAACCTCGTCTCCACTAAAAATACAAAAATTTACAGGCGTGGTGGTGCACGCCAATAGTCCCAGCTACTTGGGAGGCTGAGGCAGGAGAATCGCTTGAACCCGAGAGACAGAAGTTGCAATGAGCCGAGATCATACCACTGCACTCCAGCCTGGTGACAGAGCAAGATTCCTTCTCAAACAACAACAACAAAAAAGATGTCACTAGGTCATAGGAATTTTTCAGCTCCGTTATGATCTTATGGGACCACCGTCATATGTGCAGTCATTGTGGGGTGCATGACTGTAGTTATGTAGAAGTGGCACTATGCCCAGGACTTCCTGTTCCCCAGTCCTGGGCTCTTTCCACTATAGCAAGAGGACCTCCATTTAGAGCCCCACAACCCAGCTAGCAATGCTGTCTGTTTCCCCTCTTTCATGCTACAGTGCTAACAGCAGGCCCTCCACACGTTTACCTAACACTAGTTGCTTGCTTCCTCAAAGAGAAAACCCCTACAAGTGGATTTATGACAGTGAACAGCCACAGACAGCAGCAGCACAGCAAATGTGGGAGATCTTGTTTCTTCCAGATGAAGAAACAACAACGTGATAAAACAACATGACAACATTGTCTGATCCCTGGGCCTTGTGGTCAGAGAGATAATAGTCTAAGGCACTTCTCTCATCCTTGCTTGTACCTAACTAATGAATAGCTACATCCTTTGGTGGCAAAACGACATATAAAATATAAAATAGGGTAGTAGTAAATACATATGAGCATTTTAAATAATGTATATGAAGTATATACTAAAATGCCCCAAACTTGAATCATTCACCTCAGGGACAGGTGAGTGTTGAGAAAGGGGTTTGTTGCTAATTTCAGAGCTTTAGTATAGTCTCCTTGGTCGTAATGGAGTTATCAGGTGCTTTAGAAAATTGAAATCTGTTCACTCTTTCACCTAGATTAAGTAAATCCCGGTTTTGTATCTATTTCATATTAGCCAAGCATTCATTTAGTACCTTCTTCTGTCATACATTTAGCAACTTCCTTGGACCCTCCTTTCCTTTGCCATCTTGCCTGTTGGTATGATGACGTAACCAGGATCAATGGATAGAACCAACTTAAATTTGTTCCTGACTTTCTCATTTTTCATCTCCAGAGGAAACAGCCCCTGAGAACGCCATTGACCTTGGGGAAGAGAGCTTTGATATATTAACACATTTCCTAGAAAATGTCATTTTCCTTTTCTTTGCTGCTGACTGTTTGTCCCTTGTAATTTGCTTTTACTTACTGAAGATTATATTCCATTTGTCGGTTACAATACTCTGTCAACCAGCAGATCGAGCCCACCCAAGATCTACTACAATTTTCTAGATTGCAGGTGGGCTTACAAATACTCCGTCCAGGAATATGTAATTATTTTATCTTCACACAAAAGATAGCTTCCTTAAGCAACAGTGAATATTTGTCTCTTAATTCCTTGTGCTGAATTCACCTCTTTGTGCTGACTGTGAAGTTTCTCCCCAAAATCAACCTGGATTCCCCATTCCAAGGAACAGAAGCTCAGGCTGCATTATGGCTTTTCATTTGCTATGTTTGCATACCACACATATTCAGTAAAACTGCCTCTTCTGGCCTGTTTCCATTTCTAAGAGTGCTACATTATTGCATGATTTAGAAAAGTGTCTGAGAAATATGCATCAGCTCTCAGTTATGTCTGTCAAACCTGGCTGATATGGTTTGGCTGTGTCCCCACCCAAATCTCATCTTGAATTGTAGCTCCCATAATTCCCACGTGTTGTGGGAGGGACCCGGTGGGAGATGATTGAATCATGGCATGGTTTCCCCTGTACATTCTCGTGGTAGTGAATAAGTCTCACGAGATCTGATGGTTTTATAAGGGGTTTCCCCTCTCACTTGGCTCTCATTCTGTCTCATCTGCTGCCATATAAGACATGCCTTTCACCTTCCACTATGATTGTGAGGCTTCCCCAGCCACGTGGAAGTGTGAGTCCATTAAACCTCTTTTTGTTTATAAATTACCCAGTCTCGGGTATGTCTTTATTAGCAGTGTGAGAACAGACTAACACACTAACCATTATAATGGGCAAAGTCATATAAGCCAAGAGGTATTGTATTAGTTTTCTTATTGTTGCTGGAACAAATTACCCCAAACTTAGTGATTTAAAACAATACAAATTTATTCTCTTATAGTTCAGGGGTCAGAGGTCCAAAATTAGTCTTACTGGGCTAAAGTCAAGGTGTCAGCAGGACTAATTCCTTCTGGTGGCTTTGAGGGGAAAATCCTTTTCCTTCTGTTCTCACATCTCTTACTGCCCACTCTGACCCCCTGCCTCCATTTTCTAAGGAGGCTGGCAGTTACATTAGCCCCACCCAGATAATCCAAGATAACCTTCCCATCTCAAGACCCTTAGCTTAATCCCATCTGCAAAGTCTCTGTCATATAAGGTAACAGTCAGAGATTCTGGGGATGAGGAAATGGACATCTTTGGGGATCATTGTTCAGCTGACCACAGGATTGAGACCTCCCTATTCAGTGACAGTTTTCTGTGGCCTTTCCTCTTGAGGTCGGGCTGCCTTGGTGGGGGACGGATGTTTGTGGGTGAGCTTGTCCATGCCCTTCAGAGACCCCATGCCTGACTCCATGCCTCCTGCACCTGCAGTGGCATCCAGGTTTCAGCTGCCTCCCTGGGGCAGTCAGAGGTGTCACAGTGGTACCCAAGGGCCATGCCACTGTGCCCAAGATGTTTGCCAACTACCCTTCCTCAACTCTGTCTTCTTTCCCTTTTTCCTTTTCAGCATTGTGTTAGTGCCGGGAGGCCACTGTGTCAGCAAGCTGAGAGGGAAACTGAGGCAAGATGTCGGGCCGGAGCGGGAAGAAGAAAATGTCCAAGCTGTCCCGTTCAGCCAGGGCAGGTGTCATCTTTCCAGTGGGGAGGCTGATGCGTTATCTGAAGAAAGGGACGTTCAAGTACCGAATCAGCGTGGGCGCCCCTGTCTACATGGCGGCAGTCATTGAGTACCTGGCAGGTAATGAGGACACGCAAAGGAGACTGCCTGCTCCCAGGTCCCCACCCTCCCGTGGGTCCCCCTCTCAGGCTGGGGAGGGATGCTCCAAACTGCCTTATGGCTGGCTCAAGGCTACTGCGGGTGGTGACAGGGTTGCAACTGGCCTGCTTGGCTAAAATCAACTTCTGCAGACTTTAGGGGAGAGAAAAGTGCATAGGAAGGACAGGTGATCAGCATGGAAGGCAGAGAACCCACAATCAAGTAAGTGGTCCTCCTAGACCAGTCCTGCAAAAGATGCGTCTTACTTTAAGCAAATGCAATATATAAATATCTAAGCTCCTGAAGAAAATAAACTGCAGGGAGAATGGGGGAGTTGATATTCATTTTGTAAAAGGGAGTCTTTTTACATCAAATTGCTCATTAAACATCAGTTTTCCTGGTATATTTAAACTAGGACTCAGTGTCCATAAATAACATTTATCTGATCATCAAAAGCATCTTTCGGGTGCTGCCATGAAGCCGATGTAATGTTCTAATTTTGTTCTCCTTCACTGAGGTGATTCTCATCTAATAGGGGTGCACAGAAAATAGTTTCCCAGATTTGTTGTTAAAGTTCATTTTTTTACTGAAAGATGAGATTGTGCTGTGTGTGTTCTTTATCTTAGTAACTTTCTCTTTAGCTTTTTTGTTGTTGTTCTCTTATGTCATAGTTAAACAGAAACCAAACTTTACAATATCGGGGTGCTTTTCAGAAATATTTACAAATAAAATATATAAATATATATATATACAATAAGTGTGATTTAGTCCCTTGTTGGGTAATAGCCATGAGCAACAATGTCTCTGACTTTGCCCAAGGTTAACAAATTCCCTAGACACCAAGGTTAAGTTCCTCGGGAATTCTGCCAGGTTGAAAAGCAAACCTCCCCAAACAGTCTGACACTGGGGAGGCGAGCCTCACTGCATGAAATCCTCTGGGCTGTGGCAGGGCTGGTCCTCTCTTCTGTCCCCAGGTTCCTCTTTTCTGCTGGTTTTTCCTTTCTAGATGCTCAGTCCTGCCCTGCCCTCTTAGTCCCCATCGCTCACCAACCAACATTGATTGGTGAAAGGTTTTCCTTGATCCATGCATGGAAATGTCCTCCCCCCAGAGCTTCCACCAGGCAGACCTTTGCATCATGAGTCTTCCTCTTATGAAATGAAAGCCTTGCTCCTGAGCTAAAAGTCCTTCCCTCCTTTAGGAGGTTGGGGAAAGCTGGAGGACTCTGAAAAGCAGTGCTTTTCAAAGTGGGATCACCCAGGGATCTTGTTGAGAAGGGCAGGGTGGGCCCTGAGACGCCATTCCTCAAGCTCCCAGGTGATACTGATGCTGCTGGTCCAGGGACCACACGTTGAATAGCAAGATTGTAGCCAGTCTTTTATCTTCAAGCCAAAAGATGTAGGGAATGCTTGTTTAAAATGCAAGTTCCCACCAGGCATGGTAGCTCACACCTATAATCCCAGAACTTTGGGAAGCTGAGGCGGGTGGATCACCTGAGGTCAGGAGTTCGAGACCAGCCTGGCCAATATGGTGATACCCCATCTCTACTAAAAATACAAAAATTAGCCAGGCATGGTGGCAGCTTCTGGGGTTACAGGCCTGTAATCCCAGCTACTTGGGAGGCTGAGGCAGGAGAATCGCTTGAACCCAGGAGTTAGAGGTTGCAGTGAGCTGGGATCACACCATTGCACTCCAGCCTGGGCGACAGAGAGAGACTCCATCTCAAAAAATAAAATAAAATAAAATAAAATGCAAGCTCCTGGATACACTCTCAAAGGGTCTGATTCACTGGATCTGGAGTGAGGCCAAGGAATCTGATAGGAAAACCTCCGAGCTGAGGGAGGGAGAGAGCAGACTCTGAGAAGGGTTTATGAAGCTTTAAAACCTGTTAGGTGTGTCACCCACTGAGACTGGAAGACACTGAGTAACTCAAAGATCCCACAGCTTTCAGATGGGGAAGTAGGACTCCCCCAGGGCCCTCGACCTCGAGCCACGCAGTTTTGCTGTGCTACACTGCCCCAATGTTTGTGTGATGAAAATAGGCAAAAGTCTAATCCAGTGCATATACAAAATTTGGCCTTTGGAATCCCTGGCATCTCTGTTAGTCTTTGGTTCAGATGTGTGAGATAAACGAAGCTTACCTCTCCCTGTTCGTTCATCCATTCAAAGAGCATTTGTTGAGCCTCTCCACGCCAGCGCATGCAGTGAGTCCTTAGGCAGAGTTCCTGCAATAGAATTGGGCCATTTATACGGCGAGTTGAATGTGGAGAGGATGAACACCTGCAAGGGTGCCATTGCCAAAGTCCTCCTGCCCCAGCCAGTCCCAGTGTCCAGACCATCCTGGGCCACATAGAGGAGGAGAAGGTGACATTGATCTCCTGAGGCCCAGGCCTGTCCTCTGTGTCCTTTCCCTCCCTTCTTTGTGCCTTTTCTCTCCTCCAAAGGCAGGCAGGCACGGAGAGAGTGCAGGCTCAGATGTAGGTTCCAATCGGGATGACTCATCCACCAGCTCTGTTACCCTAACATCTCTGAGCTCCAGGTGTTTCCAGAACTAGCTCATTTAACCTCATTCAATGAGCTAATATGTGTAAAACACCTGGCGTATAGGATGCACTCAATAAATGGTAATTCTTCTCCTCCCCCCTCTATTAAGAGCTGATAAGATCATTCAGGACAAAGTATAAATGACTAATTCCATTAAGGTGGTATATTTTCAGGCTGAATTTACATTTTAATGAGACAAGGTGTTGTAATCCAAAGGAATGAATCATATTAGTGGAATTGCAAGCTACTGTTGAGTAAGTGACATGGGGAATTTTTGTCTGTTTTTTGGTTTATTTGTTTGGTTTTTAAAGAGGTATCCATTGATTCTGTTTAGGGAAGGGGAGTCAAAATGTGGAAGCCTCCTGTCACCCTTGAAATGACTTCCACATTCGTGAAACAAATCTAGACTGAGTGCCTCGTTTGAATCAGGTCTTGAAGATACAGCAGAAAACCAGCTAACTTGGTCCTGCCCATTGCTGGACTTAGAGCCCAGTGAGGAGGACAAGAAGGAAATGCCTCACAATAAGATCAGGTGCTGTCGGGCAGGGAATGAGAGGAACTTTGGGAAGTGCGGGTTGGGGGAGGGGCTGCCTAATCTAATGTAAGCATTGTTAAGACCAAAACCAGGTTGTCAACCCTGCATTTCTTGTATCGATTGATTTCAAATCCTGATGCCTGGGTCCCACCCCCAAGAGATGCTGGAGTATTTTCTGTGCATCAGGATTCTTAAAAGTTCCCCCAAATGATTCTGATGAGCAGCCAGGTGGGGAAGGGAGTCAGCCAGATTCAGATGGGGGGTGGTGAACTAGGGGAAGATAGTAAGGGAGGTTGAGAATAATGGAGAAGATTCCAAGTTTAAAAGAGTGTGTGGCCCTTTCTAATGTGCCTGCAGCAGAGCTTGGGAATGGGAGGAGTGAGAGATGAAATGGGGGCAGGGCAGCAGGCGCTAGACTGTGATGGCCCTTGAAGGCCACGTTGAGGGTTCACACGCGCGCGCACACACACACACACACACACACAGCAGAGGAGGCATCGAAGGGAGGTGGCAGCATCTGTAGGGCATCACTCTGGCTTTAGGAGAACAGTTGTCAAGGAGCAAGATCAGATTCCAGGAGACCAGTGGAGTTGTTTTAGTGTCACTTTGTAAAGAACTGACAGTGGCCAGGACCAAGGGTACAGTGGGGATGGTGTGAAGAAATGGAAAATCTGGGAGCTCTCTGGAGGGTGGAGTCAGCTCCGCTCCATAATGGATTGGATCCGCAGGGAGGGGCATCAAGGATGACATGAATCTTGCAGGCGTGGACTAGCTACTTTCTCTCAGGCCACACTCCCATGGGGTGAGAAGTAGAATGAGGTGTGGACTTGGAGACAAGAGGAGCAGGGAATGGGTAAAAGAAGTCTGGCCAGTCGGGCATGGTGGCTCACAACTGTAATCTCAGCACTTTGGGAGACCAAGGTGGGCAGATCACCTAAGGTCGGGAGTTCGAGACCAGCCTGACCAACATAGAGAAGCCTCATCTCTACTAAAAATACAAAATTAGCCAGGCATGGTGGCGCATGCCTGTAACCCCAGCTACTCGTGAGACTGAGGCAGGAGAATCACTTGAACCCAGAAGGCAGAGGTTGTGGTGAGCCAAGATCGTGCCATTACACTCCAGCCTGGGCAACAAGAACAAAACTCCATCTCAAAAAAAAAAAAAGTCTGGCCAAGAGGAAGGAGGAGAGAGAGCAAAGCAGCTAGTGGATGGAGAATGGAGCCTGTAGCTGAAGTAGGGAGCAATGGATGAGAACCAGGCCGCAGCAGGAGGGGCTCAGTTTGGGACCTGTTGAGCTTTGGTGTCTATAAGATGTCCAAGAGGGCTGGGCAGAGTGGCTTATGCCTGTAATCCCAACACTTTGGGAGGCCAAAGTGGGAGGACCGCTTGAGTCCAGGAGTTCCAGACCAGCTTGAGCAAGATGGTGGGCAAGATTTCTCTACAAGAAATTTAAAAATTAACCAGGTGTGTGCCGGGCGCGGTGGCTCACACCTGTAATCCCAGCACTTTGGGAGGTCAAGGCGAGTGGATTACCTGACATCAGAAGATCGAGACTAGCCTGACCAACATGATGACACCCCATCTCTACTAAAAATACAAAAATAAGCTGGGCATGGTGGTGCATGCCTGTAATCCCAGCTACTTGGGAATCTGAGGCAGAAGAATCACTTTAACCCAGAAGGTGGAGGTTGCAGGGTGTGGTGGTATGTTCTGAATAGTCCCAGTTGCTAGGGAAGCTGAGGTGGGAGGATTCTTTGAGCTCAGGAATTCGAGGCAGCAGTGAGCTATGACTGCACCACTGCACTCCTCAGCCTGGGCGACCACGCAAGGCCTTGTCTCTCAAAAAATAAAAATAAAAATAAAAATAAAAAAGATGTCCAGAAGAGCAGAGTGGATAGAAATGC